TACGCCTCTGCAAAAAAAAAAAAAAAAAAAAAAAAAAAACACACTGAGGGTGGAGCTCAGGGCAAAGGCCCTGTGTTCAATCCTCAGTACTACAGGGAGGGAGGGAGGGAAACTGAGTGACAATCTATGATTTTGTATTCTCTATAAGATAAGCAATTCCAGACCAGAATTTCTGACAAGGCTGCTTAGTAAACAGCACTCAGCTCAAGGAGCTGCTGGTACCTATGGCAGAGCCCCATGCCACCTCCTGTCCCCAGAGGCATATGTGTGCTGCCTGGCACCTGTGATACATGTGCCATTGTCCCCAGCTGTGACAGGACCTCACCCAGACCCAACCACCTTGCTATGTGGACCCTCCCCAGAAGGTCGCTGATCCCTGTGTTCACAATGGAACCCATGGGCAAGCAAATGAAAGCGCAAGGATGGAACTGCAGCTGAGACAGCTGCAGCCACCTCGAGAATGAGCACAAGGATGGAGACCTCACCCACTGCTATCTGCCGGGGCACTGTGTGCTGAGGTCCCCACCACAGCCCCAGACCAGAGCTAGGGCCTCCACTGACCACTGACGGGGCCTCCAACTAGTGACCAACTTCCGCTCTGATCCCTTCACAGCTGACCCGGCCAGCCAGGGTGCAGAAACCTCCCCATCTCCTGTCTCCTTCCTGGATCGGGGACCTCAGCCCTGGCCTACCCACCTCCTCTTTCACTGTAACAGCTGTGGCCATGGTAAGATGCACACACATCTATCTCCAACTCCAGGGGAACCGGGACTCACCTGCCCCACAGCTCACTTCACTTCCCAGCTGCTAGGATTTCCTGGTTGCACAGAAAGAAGCCCAAGGTGCAGAGAAGTTCAGTAAGCAGCACAGGGTCACACAGTGGGTGGACAGCAGAGGAGCTCAGAATCAGACCTGGATGGTTTGATCCCCAAGCGCTTGACTCCCAACTGCTTATCGGTGGGTAATAACCCAGAACTGAACAAAAACACAGGACTGTTTCCTCGTCTTACCAGGTTTAAGGTCAACTAGAATTTCCCAAGCACCCCTAAAGTTACGAGGTAAACCACTGGAATTAAATTTCCAAGTTAATGATTGCCGGGCCCTGCCTGAGCACGTTGGGCATTTTAAACCACAACCCATTTACACTGTCAAAAAGGGTGCTGACACAGACTGTTAGGAAATAATCACTAACCACTATAGTAGATTTGTAACTAAAAACAATGGAAATTATCTAAAAAGCACTGAATTTAATATGCAATTTAAAACACAGGTGAACCCTGGTATGGTGGCGCATGCCTGCAATCCCAGCACTCGGGAGGCTGAGGCAAGAGGATCGCTGTCAGTTTGAGACCAGCCTGGGTTATATAGTGAGTTCCAGGTCAGTCTCAATTACATAGTGAGACCCTGTCTCAATAAATAAATAAATAAATAAATAAATTTAAAAAATAAAACACAGGTGAATGTTGATGTTATTAATCAATTCCATAACAATACCATCCTGCATAGGGTGAAACTCAGAAAACTCAGAAAAATTTTTCACATGTATCCGTTTTTGGGTTGTTTTTTTTTTTTTATACCAGGGATCAAACTCGGGCTCTTATGTTCGCAAGGTAGGCAGCGAAACCACTGAGCTAAATCCCCGGCCCCACATGCATCTGATTTCATATTAACCTTGCCCTCTGGCCGAGATCCTCTGCAGGCAGCCCTGGGTCCCAGACCCTGGCAGGCAGCGTCTGCCCCAGGTGGCGAAGGCGTCACCACCCACCTGCAGCTGGCTGATCATCTGTCCATTTCCGCTTCCCTGGAAAAGGCTGGACACCTTCAGAAATGTTTCTGATAAAGTTTTTAACTCGTCCACAAAATGAAAAGTGTAATTAGCCTGCAAAAGAAAGCACAGGGGATGAGCCTCTCATTTGGCCACTGCGTTAGGATGGACCAGTCCTGCGGCACCTCCAAGATCAGGGAGCACCACACACGACTTGGTCCTCAGGACAGAGTCCTGCCCTGCCCCTGCAGGTCAGCAGCCCTTCCTGTCCCTCCTGGAAGCCTCACTGTAGGGGACACCGGCCCCTGTCACCCTAACCCACACAGCCCAGCCGCGCCTGCCTGCGTTCCCTCCTCCAGCGCACCTCGGCATCTGCTCCACAGTGGCCAGTATCAGCCAGCATAGTGCGACTAACTGGGTGTCTGTGCCTCCCCTGCTGCTGCAGACTTTCCTAAAATAATTTGGCAACACAGAATATGGGTAGTCATGCACCTGACAAACTGCCCATGCCTCTGTCTCTCAGTATAAAAGACTCTCTCCTAAGGAAATGACCACAATGAAACATGGAGCTCCAGCCAGGAAGATGTCAATCGCGACTCCCATGTATTTAGCACCAAACAGAGGCTCAGTGCCAAAGAAACAGAGAGGAGAGGGCTTGGGACTCCAGACCCACCCTGGGGTTGCAGGGAGACCCCCGTGGTGACACAGACACTGCAGAGCAGCCACCACAGCAAGCGCGGGAAGCTCTAAGCCCAGGGCAGACCTCCAGGAAGAGGGGTGGGGCAACTGTGGCTGCGAAGACAGATGGAGAGTTCAGGCCTGGCTCACAACCAGCTCCCCAGAAACAGAGAAGGCCGCCGCTGTGCTGGTCAGAAACGCACACAGACTGCAGAGGACGCTACACACCCTTACTGACGCAGCCAATTTAGAAGATGTGTAAGACCTAAATCCAACATTAAAGAATGCAAGCACACATGAACATATAGACGCACAAGCAAGCTATTAAAACTTAAGTTACAATGTCCTAATTTACTGTGTATATGCACACCCCCACCTTTCAAATGTTTGAGACAAAGTCACTGAAACTAACACACTAGGACAAACGTCAGTAAAATATCAGGATGTATAAATTACTTAGGTATATATTATGAGATTTAAAATTCTTAACAAAAGTTTGTTTGAAAATGTTTTAGATGGCCTGCCTCGCAAGAACAAGGTCCTGAGTTCAATCCCCAATACCAAAAACAAAAAAATGTTTTAGATGAATAAATTGAAATTTTAAAACTTTATTACAAATAACTTTAATTTCAGGAAATGATCATACAAGAAAAAATGATGATAACATTAGCTACCAAAATATATTATTTATAACCAAAATTCACACTCAAATATGTGTGATTAAATTAAAAAGTAAAAGCTAATCAAACAAAAATTCACTTAACATATCTGTAAAATAATATGATAGAATAATCTAAAGAAACCAGAAAGAAGACAGTAGTCAAGATAAATTTTTTAAATACATGATTTGGAGAACAAATAAACAACAAATGCATGAAATAGTCCTCTAAATAAATAACAAAACATATAAATATCTAAGAACTCCAACTTGTAATTATTTAATGTTTATTGAACTATTAGAATGTATATAAATCATTTGATGTAAAATGTGAAATCATTCAATATGAAATAAATGTTAATATACAACAAAACAATAATGTTCAAAATAATTTTAAAGAATTAAACATAATAAAATAATGTACTAGTATTAGAAACCAGAGCTACCAAAAGTTTAAAAATTCCTATAATATATAACATATTTATGACTACAGATTTTTCAATCTTGGTGAACTGTATTTTAAGAACAAAGTAATCAGCTAGAAGCTGTAGAAAATCCTCACGTAGGTGCACAGCCCTGGCCACAGTGAGTGGCCCCCAGCCTCTGTGTCACCCAGAGGGAGACCTGCAAGTGCTGGGTGCTTCTAGTAGAGGCCAGCACCACGGGAAAGGCAGCTGACCCCAGGTCTGAGATGGGAAGCTAGAGACAAGACCTTGGGCATCACCATACTGCACAGACAGCCACCAAAGCCTCAAGCTCCACATAGCAAGGACTGGAAAAGGCATCCCCAGCCAAGAAATAATGAACACCTTGGAAACAGGGCAACAGGCCTCCAGAGAGAGCTCCAAAAGGAGTGAAGGAAGACCAGGTGTCCCAGACCCAGACAGGAGGCACAGCACAGTGCCTGGGAGTCTCTTTAGCTGCCTCCAACACAGGATGTTGACCACACACTGCACTTCCCATCAACAACCTAGTGACAAAAGGCAGCCCTGTTGGTGTTCCCCACACCCTGCTCTCCACAGCACTGTGCCAGCCCACAACACCAAGGGGCCCCAGCGAAAAGGCAGTTGGGAAGGACTCACCTTCCACCAGGAGGCACAGAAGGAGTCCCAGGGCTGACCAGTATGCAGGCTCCTAGCACAACAAGCCCAACGCAGAGACAGAGAAGACACAGAAGCAAAGGGTCCCCTGCCACAGTGGCCTAGCCTGGAAACCCTCACTGCCCCTCCAGCAGGAGGACTATGGTATGACAAGGGCCTGGCCTGCCCAGTCCCCTCTTTCTCTAGCACCCTGGACTCCAGTCCCCATGGAGGCACTCAACAGAAGACCTGAGGAAACCAGACCTACCCTCCTCGGGGCCACAACCGAGCCTACCAGGAACTCTGGAAGCGCCAGACAAACCAAGCAGACTGCAGTTGCACCACAAAGGCTACAGAAATTAAGCCACCAATAGAGCCATGGCCTACAAAGTAGGCCAAAACCTGTGCCTTAAATCTATGCAGGACGACTGCCTGCAGTAAAAAAAGACACAAGGGCCATTATGTCCTAATATAATAGCCAAGATATCCAGGACACAGCAGAAAAATCAGCCGCCTCACAAAGAACCAGTGAAAACACAGCGGTAGAAGAAAAGCAACCAGTTAAGGCCATTACTGAGATAAATTATAGACACTGGGATGATCTGGCTGGTATTATAAAGTAGACTCCATAAAAATGTTTCAACAAGTAATCACCAACTGACTTGAAACAAATAAAACAGAAGAATATCACACGCACGTGTGCTCGTGTGCACACACACACACACACACACTCACACACACAGGTCCAAGTGGGACTGGGGAAATCTGAACATGGTCAGGGAATCCCACCAACGTCAGAAGCCTGGCTGGGGTCCTGCCCCACAGAGCTATGGAGGTGGTACCCATGGGAGACTCAGGGAGGGGTACACCAGACCTTCTTGTTATTTCTTACAAATGCATACAAATCTATGATCACGAGATAAAAATTTAATCTTTAACAGAGTGCAGGAGCCAAACTGATGAGGTGCACACTGACCACAGATAAGCTAATGCGAGCATAAAAAAATGAAGACTGGAGTGGAACAGAATGCATGACAGGTGGATGCCTCTGAGTGTGCATTATTTCTTAGTTAACTGCCTGCACAAGTTGAGTGGAAGTCAGTAAGGCTCACATCCCAAAGTCCCACCTCAAAGTGGGTCGTGATATCAGAGACCCCACACTTAGTGTCGTCCGTCTTCATCTCATTAGAAGACATGACTTGGACTTTGTTTCATCCACACGCCACCTACTTACTCACTGATGATTTTAGAAAATGGCCACTCCTCCCTTGATTGCAATTACTCTTTTATTTAAAATACAGAAGGAAAAATTACATGCCGATTGGGTCGAAGCATGAGGTGTTAGCTCTGAATCTGTGCTGTTGCTGTTACTGTTGTTGCTGTTCTCTGAATCCATCATTTTCTTATTTGTATCACTCTCTCTTCTCACTCAGTCCCTGTCTTAAAGGTGAATGAGAGAGGAATTTCAGGACTTGAAAATTGGATCTACTCAGAGTGAAGAACAGAAATGCATTTCTTTCTTGGTTTGGTTAAACTCATAAGAGCAAAACCAGAGGGAGCAGCCCCCACTTCCACTCGACCCGTTTCGTAAGGAGGAAGAGCCCACTTCACCTTCTCAGGTGGGTGGATGGGGGGGAGGAGAAAAGCAAGGCCATCCTCTTCTCCCAGAAACAAAGGAGGCCACACAGGAGGCCTGTGCCTTGGCCCTTCCAGCAGAGGACATGGCACAGCTGGATTCCAGTGCTTCCCTCCGAGCCTCAAGTCCTCAGTCCTGCACAAAGAAGATGACAGTGCAGGATCCTACCATGGGTACGCTTTCTGCTCTCTGTACCAATTCCAAGTTTCTGAAGGAGATGGCAAGGTGGTCTTCTCCTTTCCTACTCTGTCCCCAGAAGCCATTTCCAAATAGAGTAGACACTTCCAGTGCTCCCCTGTGCCCTGCTGGAATGCTATCTTTCTTCACTCCAACTACCCACTTCCATCTGCATCTTGTCTGGAGTTCATTTTGGAAAGCAGTCAAGACCAAACTCTTCTTTTTCACAATTTATAAAGTTTTCATCTCATAGATGCACCAAACTTAACTGTTTCCTTCCTTATAGTTAGGTTGTTTCCCAGCCCTAGCACTTACAAATAATGGCAATCATGTGTGATTATGTCTTTGTGACACTGATAAACATTCTCAATTGGCCTCAAAGACATCACACAATATCCTCCTGCCAACAATGCTCCCTCCTAACACCGTCAACCAATAAAATATATCCAATCTGGGCCCTGAGCAGTTTAATATCCTATCTCATTTGGGGCCAGCTCCTTTCAGGGATTCTCATTTCATCATGAATAAGTCTGAGTATCTTTTCCATTGCTTAATAAGCCATCTTGGTTTTTTCCCCCTTTTTTGAACTATACGATTATAGGTTTTGCTTATTCTCAAATGCACTGTTTTACTAATTAAAACCCCTTCCCAGTGGACAGGATCTATATCACCAGGCAGCTCAGGGAGAAAGAAGGGAGCACAGAAAGTACAGGAACTATGTCAGGCAGCCAGGAGAGAATGACACAGACCTCAGTCTCCCTGTCCTTGCCCTCAACTGATCATAGTCTTACTTCCCCTGTGTATAGACAACACTTTTTATTTTGGGTTCTGAGGATTAAACCTGAGGCCTTTGCACTGAGCTAAATCCTAGCCATTCATTTGTTTGTCTATGTGTTGAAACATAATCTTACAAAGTTGCTGAGTTGCTCAGCCTGGGCTCAAACTTGCAGTCCTCCTGCCTCAGCCTCCCAGGGTGCTGGGATCACAAGCAAATGCCATCATTCCTGGCACAGACAACACTTTTAAGAATAAAAAAAAAAAAGACAAGTGCGACAGTGCTTGCCTTAATGCATGCACTCTGGGAGACTGAGGCAGGCTTGCAAGTTCAGCCTAGTCTGAGTAACTTAGTGACATCTTCCCTCAAGATCAAAAATAAAGCATAGTCTCTCTCACATGAGAAGCCCAAAGTATAAATAATTTAACCAGCAAAATAAAAGAGGGAAGATTTAAGACATGTTATGTATGGTAATAACTCCACACAAGGAAAGTAATCATGTACAGTGGACCCTTGACTTATGAACCCAATTTGTTCCCCTGGGCTGGTTGTAACTCAAGTTGGTCAGCTGCCTTCCAAGTCTCTCTCCCACATAATTTCAGGCCACACCTTCTTCCAGGCAGATCTCAGTGTCCTTAGAGAAACACTGGCCCAGGATTTCTCAGTTAACCCACCCAGGAAAGGATGCTGTCATGTTCTTTCCAGAACTCTTTAAGGGTTAGATCTGTATCTGAGACCATCTGGAAGCACAAGCAGCTGCCATTCAGGTCATAACTCAAGACTTTGTTCACAAGTTTAACAATTAAATTTCTGGTCATGACCCAAGTTGTTGGTATGTCGAGGGTCCGCTATACTGCAAACATGTACCAATAAAAAATAAGTTATTTTGAGGCTAGAGGGGGGAAAGATGTTTTAAAAATTAAGAAAGAAATTTGCATCCTATGTTTTCCTCCTACAATCCCCCAAAGGTAAAATCGCGCCAGCCTTCAGTGTGATCTGGCAAGATGCCCAGGCAACCACATGTGCTGCAGGTGACATCGGCGAGTGAGAGCCCATCCTGGAGTTCAAGGGACTCAAATGCCAGGCACTGCGGGTGTCCAGGTAGAGAAAAGGTTCTCCCAACCGAAGCAAGAAGCCTAAGCCACAGAGACAGGAGAGGGCGCCAGCACCCAGCCTTCCCTGAAGATGTTTCCTTTCCTGACCTTCTGCTTCTTAGAGCTGCCCTCGGTGCAACCTCAGGAAATGCCCACTATTCATAGATCCTTTTTCCTGAAGAAGTGGCAACTTCCTAGGGCTGCCCAGGTCTCCTGCTCTGTGGGACCTGAGGCCGTGGGTCCAAGCACCAGAGCCAATTTTCATAAAACCAAATGGCCATGGCCGACTGCTGGAATAAATCACCCAGGTACAGTGCCGTAAAGTCAGGTCTGTTGCTGCAAAACCACGAAGCACCTGGTGTGCAGTCATGTGAAGTGAGTGCTAAAGGAGCTACCGCAGTTCACACCTCAGGTGCCCCCGGGTCTCCTGTCTGTGGCTCATCACAGAGGCTGCATTCCGTCCCTGGCCTCCCTTTCCTCTCTGCTTCCTGGCTGAGTGGAGTGAACACCTTTATCTCCACCCGGGCCCGCTCACTGTGCCAGTTCTGCCTTAGAGCAGCCAGCCATGGGCGGAAGCCGTGAGCCACATAAACCCCTCCTCCCTTAAGTCCTGGATGTCCAGCATTTTGTGCCAGCCATGAGAAAGGGACGTAAGCAGCACTCACTTTTGTTCCTGTCTCAGCAAGCATTAGAGAAACCCTTTCTCAACCTCCCAGACTTCTCAATATTCTCAGGGCACATGCTCAGGGTGTCTCCCTCCAGGCACTTCTGCCTAGGCCCCATGGGAAGGCGAGGGGTCCACAGTCCCTGCTAACCCAGAACCTACCTCTCATCGCATTATGTCTAAACTGTTTCTTCAGCTGTGCGCTTTCTCTTCCCTCCTGCAAGGTGAGCTCCTCTGAAGAAGAAAGAGACTGCTTGCTGGTGGTTGTATTGCGAAAAACAGCACAGTTGGCAGCCTTTACAGAAATGCTTTTTTTATTAACTTAGTGACACAGGATCTCACTTTGTATTTCAGCCTGGCCTTGAACTCACTATACATCCCAGGCTGGCCTAGAAAGCATGGCAATTCTCCTGCCTCAGCCTTCCAAGTGCTGGGATTACAGGCATACACCTTCATGCTCAGCCAGATATGCTATTAATAATAATAGTAACATAATAGCATTGGCATATATTATATAGCCATAAAAAAGAAATTCATAGCTTCTCAAATTTCTACACTTAAGTTGAAATGGTGATATAGTGCTATTTTCTGTAAGTCTATCCAGGATTCTGCTAAGTCCACTACACCAAGGGGCCACATCATGTCAGCTTCGGCTGCACTGCTGGCCTGGTGTCTGCCCCAAGACGGCCATGGAGCGTGACCTAAAACACTGCTCCCTCGAGACAAAAGGGCTAATGCAAGGAGGCTGCAATCCAACGTCAAGATAATCACCTAATTGTGAGAGTCCAGAATTTTGCAATACTTCTCCAAAAGCCTATTTTTAAGACTTAAAAATAAAATGTTAAAACTACTATTCAGGATAGGGTACGTGCAGTCCCTGAGCCAAGCCATGAGGTGAGGAAACTCTCAGGAAACTTGCTGTGACTCACAGCAATCAGAGGGACAGGATACGGGAAACTTATAAAAGTGAATTTGATAAAAAATAACCTAGTTCATCCAATGATCACACAGCACGTTCAGATTTTAAATCATTAATGCTACCTGAAGCTTGGAGGCTCAGCATTAATGGAACAGGAACCTCCTCCTCTGTGTCCTGCATTTAGGGTCAAAAGGACCCCACATCTGTGGTCAAATATCCCCTCTCCAGGTCCCTGTAGGCTCGCAAGCCACGAGGAGACAAGGAAAGACCCAGGAAAATACAACAAAATCTCTCAAAAAGACACCACACAAGAAAACTCTACAGCACAGTACAACTGTTTAAAAAGAAACTACAAATAATAATAACAGATCCTGTAGGAAACAGATTCAAAAAGTTAACGGGATATAGGAAGAACCCTGCAATGTGGAAATTCCTCCTACAAAACTTCTCTTTCAGCCTCTGTATATAAACAGATCCTCCACAGGGCTGGGCAAAGCCTCACAATCAATTGGGGGAAATCACAAGGCAAACCGCTCACTGTTCCTACGTCGGTTACACGCACCCTCGCTGCCTCTTTCCTTCACACCAGACATGCAGAGTGGAGCAGCCTGGCCATGCGCTCTCCTCCTTCCTGGGACCACCTCCCTCTGCCCAGCCTGCAGCTCTCCTCCTCTCCAGCCGTCCTCCACCTTCCACGTTACAATTCTGAGTTCACCGCTCCAGTGATGCTAATGACAGTCCTGCCTCAACTGTCCTCTGAGCAAAGGGCTCAACACATCCACAGCAATGAGAGTCACCAGAAAAATGAATTTTAATCAACATAAGAAAGCATCATGTAATCCAAGGGATGTAAGACTTAGTTAAACACTTTCGAAGATTTCAACCCTTTATTGTATAGGTCTGAACTATAAGTCTCTCATTTGTTTCAACTTACCTTTTGAATGACCTCATTAATCACCGGAACGTCTGGTGCATAGAGTATCTGTCCATGTAATATAGGCTTCAAGAAGGACCACACCAGCGCACCATTGGGGGACTGCAGGATTTCCTGATAAAGCTTCAAGCAAAATGGCGCTGGCACAATTAAGAGAGAGAGAGAAAGTGTTACATGATCCTGGATGAGCAGAAGGGCCAGGTGACAGGAAGCTTATTACACCTCCACAAGCGCCCTTGTTTTCAATGAATGAGTTACTCATATTTCGACACAGCGGCTGTGACCCAACTCTAAACTTGGGAGCAAACCCAGAATGTTTTCTGTGTCCCTCACTTCCATGGCACTTGTCTCCTCAGAAACTTCGGGGTGCTGCGTTCACTACAATGACTTGCAGAAAAGGAGATCAGGACACTCTCCTCTAAACTAAGATACTCATGACAGTGATGGCGCAAACACCTGGAAATCAGAATGGTAATCACTGAGAAAGTAAATCTCCTTTTTAATCAAGAAAACTCTCAACACCGTAGACTGAGGACTCAATTCAGTTTTCTTACGGAGCCCATTTTACAAGTTGCCCCTGGATTTCCTTCGCAGCTTCTATGCAGAACTACCAAACTTGTCATGGTGAGTGCAATGGAGCACCTTGTTTTCACCCAAAGAATTCTTCACAGCGGCTCTCATTATTTGGTAGCAATTAAAAGTTTTCTGAAATAGTCTAAATCAGGAATGATGAACCTGTGGCACACGTGCCGCAGCTGGCTGCTTCTGCCATCGTTATCTAAGTGAATAGGTAATTCATCACCATAGTGATGGACAATTAAATACTATACAACTTGCAAGGTTCTGAACAAATATGAATGCATCAGTGCAGACCGTTCTTTCACCCACAAAGAAAACACTTAATATGGAGATATCAGCTCAGCCTTAAGATCGTCACTTGTAACAGCCAATGTATGAGAACTGCTTTGATCATCTGTGTCCATTTCTTCTTCCCAGATTCTCCACTTGAAAAGAAAAAATAAATTTTTCCAAATACACTAAGTTGATAGAAACAAGCCTCTAAAATATAACTTAAGAACATGACTACATTTTAAATTTTTTTTTAGCATTTTGCTAAAATATTTAGTCTACCTATCACTTTACATTTGTAGCTAAAGATATATTTACCTAAAAAATTACAAGCAGGATTTATTTGGAAATCTCTAAAGTATGTGAAGTAGAAATACTCTTTTATGTCTCACCCACAGTTTTAAATGCTTTCAGTCTCTGCAAAGCTTCTCCTCAAATGGGCAGCTTTTTCAGGGCCGTATTTGTGTCTGCAGAGGTCTCCCATGGCTGCCAGGAGGGCTTTTCCACCACTGCTCCTTGGGCAGAGGCAATCGCCATGTTGAGGCTTTTAACAACCACTGAGTCAGAGACCACATTTTGAGGTCACTTCTTGTACTCAGAGGATTCCATCACCATGCCTGCCGCCTTTGTGCTTTCTCTAATGTTGTAGCATTTGATGTTCCAGCTGAGGCACTTTCCCTTATTAGTCAGTTCTCTTTGCCTGTGGGTAGTTTGTGTTTTGTGTACACTTCTTGTTCATTTTGAACATCTTGGCATGCCTGGCTTTCAGTCATCGCACTCTGCAGAGAAGCAAACATCCTGCCAGTATTTTCTGATGCTGTTGTAATAGTTTCAAAAATTCTTTTATCTGACGTGACCAGTCTTAAGTTTTCCAGTCTTATTCCTTCATAAATATCATTCCGTATTTCACCAGTTTTAAAAACAAGGTATCTATGCATGCTTCAGAGAGTGACAGAATCTTCGGCAGACCAGCCAGGTTAGTTTTCACAATCTTGTTTGCCCAGTACAGTGTAAATGTTGTTCTGATATTCACAGCAATATCCGTAACTGCAGTAAAGGTGCAGTGAGCAGGCAGCTGAGTGGTTTTTCGCTCTTCTTAAAAACTAGCAGAGGTTCCTCTGTGTCAGTGAGGTGAGCTCCCCATGTATATCATCACACTTTGCTCCTAGTTCTTCTTCTTTTCTCCACAATTTAGTTAAAAGACTAGAAGCTAGCTGATCCTTCTTCCCTCACCAAGCACTGACACGAGCAGCAGTTTGGGGATTATCACAGAACTCAACCATCATTCCAACTATTAGAGTGCAGAATTCAGGGGTGGGGGGGGTCAAAGCCAAAATATCCAAAAGGAGGAAAAATGCCTTCCTTTTCCAGAATGTAATCTCCCGAAGGACATCCCCAAAGGCAGCGCCATAGGCTCTCTGGTGTACTAAAGAGAAGTACAGTATAGCTAAGCCACTGTAACCTCTTGGGTCTATTTTCATTACGTGAAGAATTGTATCTACTCCTTCAGCTCCAAAAATGTCCTGCATTTGAACACGATGTTCACAAAGACAAGGTAAGTGATGTATCGGACTGGATTTCTAAGATAATGTCTTCTTTTTCATTAGGATGGCATATAATATTTGTAAAGATTCCTATCAAGTGCTGGATTGCTCCCTCTTCATAAAGGTCTCTCATTTCAAGGTGGCTCTCAGAAGTCATGGAGCATCACACATCTGTGCGAACTGTTACCATGATTAGAGAAGGGACTGGCACTCACCACAGGCCCGACAGGCCAGGTCTCGACATCTCCAGGGCAGGACGGGGACTCCTCTGTTTGAAGACAGTGTCGCAAATGCATGCAGTTGTAGTTCTTCGTGTTGTGCTACAGACCATTCCATGACTTGGTGCTTCTCGGGCCTTTTAACGCACATAAGTAAAGCCAAACCAACTTTGCCATTAATGATAGCTGTGCAGCAGGCAAATCTTCATGTAAGATTAAAATTATATTGAAGAGCAATTTCTTCAACTCAAAAGCTTCACAGGAATTAGAAAGCTTAAGACCTCTTACCAAAGGTTAAAGTTGTTAACAGGATCTAATCTCTCATGAAGCCACAATCATGGTGCTCCCGGGTTCTGAGCTAGAACTGTAGTGATCACTAATATGTCATTTCTAAGCTGGGATCATAATTACTAAATGCTCTTGTACAGAGATGTTTAAACACTCATTCAGAGTCCTGAATTTCTTCATCCTCTTTGGCCACTGCAACCACAGGAATGTGGCGGGGGCTGCCAGGCTTATTCCTTCCACTGGAGTCCCGGCCTCATCTATTGCCCGGACCTCCCCTGTGGGCATGGCAGTAGGGCTAAAGGCTGCCACCAAATAGGGAAGGCAACCAGAGTGCCACCAGCGTCTCAAGACGGGTCTGGCAGTGACCTTGGCCACCACAGTGCACAGCCCACTCAGCACCATGGCACGGGATCTCGGCCAATTTTCAACACCATGACTTTTTTTTTTTTTGGTACCAGGGATAGAACTTGGGTCCTTGTGCTTGCAAGGCAGGTGGAGGGACCACTAAGCTAAATCCCTGGCCCATATTTCTTCTTTTTTTTTTCCATGACTACATTTTTTAAATGTTAATTATAGAGGTTGCTTTATATTTTAACAACTTATTCTTTCAATTGCAAGCTTACTACAGGCAGCAGAAATTTTTATTTTAGAAAAGATATGATCATGATCATTATATGTATAGAACAAGGAATATGAAGCCAGGAATCTGCATGTCTGCCTTGTGTGAACCAAGTGAGCATGGGCAAGGGATGAAACATTCTCTGATCTTCCAACATGAATGGAAAATGAGGGGCTGGTACCATCTGATGAAAAGCAAGTGAAATAAATTTATGAAAGGAACAACAAAGACCAGTCCTCAAGAGTCAGCCGAATGGCTGGATGGCTGGGTGAATGGATGGATGGGGATGGACAGATAGAAATGGATGGATGGATGCATGGATGGGTGACTGGATTAGAAGAGCAATCAATCGTGTTCAAAATCAAATGACGCCTAAAGAAACAGCAAAAAAACTACTCAGTATGAAGAGCCTCATTGAGTATCTATGTTACCGAACTACCTGACATCTGTCAGCCATCCATATTAGCCATTAGCTGAGACGCACTGACCGACCACCTCTACAGCAGGAGGCTGCATCTGACTCCTCTTCCTGTACCTCCAACCTATGTAATCCCAGGCTCCTTGTTCCAATCACACCTATGCTTCCATCCTCAGTTCCACTGTTGGCACAAAGCTGGTGAAGGTGACACATTTTGGGTGTGGTGGGCAGAGTTCTAATGTGACCCTAGAGACCGGGCCTTGTGTGCTCTGTTTCTGAGAAAAGACAGAACCCGTGAATGTGGCACACGCCACAACCAGGATTAGATCTCAGCCAAGGAGAAGGAATTGTGAAGATGTAAGTGAAGTCCCTTAGTCTGTTCACTTGGGCTTCTACCCAAGGGCTGGACAGTCACGGAAACCCTTTAGAGGAGACTGGAAGCTGCAGAGTCACAGATGCTCCTGCTGGCCTTGACACAGTCTCCAGGAGTTCTGGAGCAGCAAGGAGAAGGCTCCTAGCAGCAGCACAGCAGAGCCTCAGTGAGAGCCCAGCTGGCCAATGCCTCGTTGTAGCCATGTGAGAGCCTAGCAGAGGAGCAGCTAGCCGGTGCCTGAGTGCTGCTCTGCAGGAGCCACGAGACGGTGAGCTCGCACTGTCTTCAGCCACTAAGCAAGTTGGGATGTGTTGTGCAGTAGAGGAGGCAACTAAGCCACTGTGTAAAGCAGCTGGGACATGGTCCCTCCACTACTCTTCACAGCAGCCTTGCAAGGTAGGGTCTGTTTCCATGTTATAGTCAGGAGTAACATGATTCAGACACATAAAACAGCAGGAACACAGAGGAACAGCTTGTTATACATGGGGAAGGTGAACACTCTGGACCCAAACCCCTCACTTTCATGTTTAGTCTTTCTAATAAAATGGGTTCATTGAACTGAGGGTATGACTCAGGGTAGATCAACTACTTGGCAGGTGGGAGACCTGGGGTTCCATCCCTAGTACCATGAAAGAAAGATGACAGATGGATGGAGGGAGGGAGGGAGGGATGGTGGAGGGATGGTTGAATAGACAGTTACATAAAAATGCTCTCACTTACAGTAGAACTACAAAATCAGTCATCTGCTTTTATTTAAAATGGAGCTTTGCAAAGAGCAGATTTGTAGGAAACCTCATACACAAAAATGGCTTTGTGTGATACAGCCACTGGCAAAGGCCAAAATGGTGCCTGTGGCCTTTATCCATGGGCCACTGGCCAATGCTGTTTATCTCACTGTACCAGAGGAGCTGGGACCTCAGTGTGACGGATGTTTTAGACTCAGTTCCTTGGCAACACGGGTGACAGGCCTAGCTATGCTCAAGTGTACTGGGACATTCCACAGCCAACTGCCATGCCAGCATCTAGTGGCTGTTCTAAAATTGAAGGAGAAAATTCTACACCCATGGGTACCATCAGCCTTCCACACAGAGTACTCAGTAAAAAGTAGAGTTAATTCTCAATATGCAAATTAACTGAGATGAATGTGGATTGCTACTATCTTACTTGAATCCTCAGGGATGTTGAATTTTTCCTTGGCCTCTTCCAAGAGCTCATTAACACTGGGCAAATTCAGGAATGTGTTGGAACTGCTCAGGAAAGACGCTTGGTCCTTGCACAGCAGGCTCATCACAGACTGGAAAGAGCCAAACGCTGAACTTCTGGCCTGGATGTGTCGTGAAGCCTGAGAACATGAGACACACGGCAGTCGTCACACAGTGACTCACAAGAGTTCTCGCACAGATTCCTGAAGGCGCAAGCCTCCCTGCGACTGAGCATGACAGCCGCTCAGCCAGTGGGGGTGGAGGCTCACTTTGTCTTTTCAGTCCTCAGGTTACCATTCAAATAGTGCCATGGCTTTTCTGGCTTATATACTTAGTAGAAGAGAAACATGTCACACACACACACACACACACACACACACACACACACACACACACACACACAAC